CCCCCTCCCCCTCCACCCCCTCCCCAGGGCATCGCAATTGCTCTTCCAGCATGGCTTCCAACAAATCTCATCCGGATGCCATTGCACCGGTAGAGCATCCGCCCTCTCTCTCCGACGGCTCAACGGGTTCCGCCGCCAGGATCATCCATAATGCCAAAGCCGCTACCGATAAGGAGCGGCAGATGACCCTGTGGCAGGGCGTCAAGCTCTACCCCAAGGCTGTCGCATGGAGTGTCCTCATCTCTACCTGTATTGTCATGGAAGGCTACGACATCAGTCTGGTCAACAACTTCTATGCCTTTCCTCAATTCAATCGGAAATACGGTGAGCTGACGGCGGACGGCTCATATCAGGTTCCAGCCCGGGTATGTTGCACTTTCCTATCTCAATCAATTGATGGTCTTGAGAACCTTTCTGCTAATATAATCTCTCCTATTTAGTGGCAATCCGGTCTGAGCAACGGTGCATATGTCGGAGAAATCATTGGCCTTTTCATCAACGGCTGGGCGTCCGAACGGTTTGGATATCGGTACACTATCATGGCTTGTCTTGTTCTCATCACCGCCTGGACTGCCATCTTCTTCACTGCGCCCAATGTCCAGGCCCTGCTCGCCGCGGAAATCCTGGCTGGTATTCCCTGGGGAGTTTTCCAAACACTTACCATCACCTATGCTTCCGAGGTCTGCCCCGTTGCGCTGCGAGGCTATTTGACGACGTATGTCAACTTCTGCTGGGGTGTCGGACAACTGATCGGTATTGGAGTGATCAAGGCTATGATCAATCGGCAAGATGAATGGGCTTATCGGATTCCCTATGCCCTCCAATGGATGTGGCCCTTACCGCTGTTCATTGGCATTTCTCTCGCCCCCGAGTCGCCTTGGTGGCTCGTCCGCCGGGGCAAGATCCAACAAGCGAAGGACGCCTTGCTGCGCCTGACCAGTCTGAACCGAGAAACGGATTTCGACGCCGATGAGACCATTTCCATGATGGTCCATACCACGGCCTTGGAGGAGAAAATCACCAAGGGCGCCAGTTATCTCGATTGTTTCAAGGGCACTGATCTGCGCCGGACCGAAATTGTCTGCATGGTCTGGGCCATTCAGAACCTCAGTGGCAATTCCTTCTCCAATTACTCGACGTACTTCCTGGAGCAGGCCGGGCTGAGCACTGACAACTCGTATGCGTTCGCCATGGGCCAGTACGGGATCAATATGGTGGGCGTGTTTGGCGCCTGGTTCCTCATGTCCGTGGGCTTGGGACGCCGCTCTCTCTACCTGTACGGCCTCTGCGGGCTGTGTGTCATGCTTCTCGTGATGGGCTTCCTTGGGCTCGTTCCCGAATCGCACAAGACCCAGGGGGCGTTGGCGACGGGCAGCATGATGATTGTCTGGGCTTTGTTCTATCAGCTCACTGTCGGAACCGTGGCATACTCCCTTGTGGCTGAGCTGTCCACCCGTCGCCTGCAGATCAAGACCGTTGTGCTCGGCCGCACGCTCTACAACATTGTCGCCATCATCTGCGGTGTTCTGACCCCGTACATGCTGAACCCCGGTGCTTGGAACTGGAGCAACTATGCCGGTTTCTTCTGGGGCGGGATCTGCTTCCTGTGCATTGTTTACGCCTTCTTCCGGGTGCCGGAGCCCAGCGGCCGGTCTTTTGCCGAGCTGGATGTCCTCTTTGAGCGGGGGGTCAGCGCCCGGAAGTTCCATCTGACCCCGGTTGATGTGTTCGACGAGACGGTGGATCGTGATGTGGTCGAGCACTACCAGACCGAGAAGACCGTGGTTGCTGACGGGGCTCAGGCCGAGAAGGCGGCCTCGTGAGGAGGTTTTTTTTTGCGTAAGAGATCCTTGTAATACTTTAATAATATTAGATGTACATAGTTACATGTTCGATCATGAAATACGACACGATTAATGATTTCAATTGGGATGTTGCTATTACTCCACTGACGGACAGGGACCATATCCACAGCAACTTGCTGCCTCACCTCGGGACTCCAAGCACCCACCTATTATACCAACCATTCCCGCCTATTCGTTCGACCACTCGGGCTTCTTCTTCCCCGCGAAGGCCTCCATTCCTACCCGCAAGAACCCCAGTCAGCTCACACCATCTCTCACAACCAAAACCCCACCTCCACCTCGCTCTCTGTCTCGAGAGAGAGAGAGAGAAAGAAAAAGGCCAAACTCACCAATCTTCTGATCCCGACTCCCAAACAACCCATGAAACACGCGCCGCTCAAACTCGACCCCCTCCCGCAGCGCCAACTCCTGACTCTTATTGACCACCTCCTTGCCCGCCACGACCGCCACGCGCGAGTACCCCGCGATCGTCTCCGCCGTCTTCACAGCTGCGGCCAACACCTCCTCCAGCCCGCCCTCAACCACCTGGGCCGCCACCCCCCACTGGCCGGCCTCCTTCCCGCTGAAATTCCGGCCGGTGAGGATCAGCTCCATGGCTTTGCTCTTCCCGACGGCCCGCGTGAGCCGCTGCGACCCGCCCGCGCCCGGAACCACCCCCAGCTTGATCTCGGGCTGTCCGAAGGTGGCTGTCGCCGTGCAGTAGAGGATGTCGCACATCAGCGCGAGCTCGCATCCGCCGCCGAGCGCGTAGCCGGAGACCGCGGCGATCACGGGCTTGCGGATGCTCGTGGCCAGGTGCGACCACGGCGCAATGAAGTTGGTGGTGTAGGCGGCGGAGAAGGTTAGGGGGGCCAATTCTTTGATGTCGGCGCCGGCTTTTTTTTGGAGGATTAGTGGGAAGTGGGAAATGGGTCTAGGGATTTGTAGGGATTCTTGCTTGAAGATGGTGGAGGGTTTGTGCTGGGAGGATATGCCCGGGGGAGGGGGAAGGAAGAAGAGGAGAGAGGGGCAACGCACCTGCAAAGGCTTTCTCGCTGCCGGTGATGATGATGGCGCCAATGTCCTTGTCTTCGTCGTATTTGGTCAGGGCATCGTTGAGTTCGCGGAAGAGCGGGCTGGAGAGGGCGTTTAGGGCTTTGGGCCGGTTGAGGGTGACTGTTTGTTTGCGGGTGTCAGCTTCGGATGAATGGGTTTGCTTCAGGTCATTGGGGGCGTACTTAATCCCACGCCCGGCTTGGGAGTCGAGGTGATGATGTGCTCGTAGGCCGAGGTCGCGGAGGTGTATGTTCGCAGGTGGGTGGACAGTGGCCGGGCGGTCCGCGAGGCGACGAGTCGGGAGCAGTGACGGGCGAACATGGTGGCTTTGAAGGTTCAATTAGTGATTCGATTCAATGAGTAGGGGTGCTAGGGTATTCCAAGTCAATGGGAAAATGGGGAGATGGAGCGGGTTTATTAGTATGTGGGTTGTTGCGATGACATACTCACCTTACCTTAACTACCTCGAGTCTCCCCGCAGAGCTGCTCGGCCGCGGCCCGCCAATAACCGGTCGGTCCAAGGGACAGCATGTTTGTTCGGTTTGACAGAAGAGCAGCACGTGTAGCACGTTGTTTTTATCACGTGACAGCTGACTCAGATGAGGCGCAGCAGCGGGTGTCGCCATCTGTGGCTTCCGAGGCCGAAAGCGGCTTAGGGGGAAATGGACCAGCCAGCCAGCAGGCAGTGGACACTTTTCGGATTATCCTCTGGCTATCTGCTGTTGGCTGTGCTGTGCTGCCTCTCGCTGCTAACTAAAGTGTTGAACTAACTAACTAACCGACTGCTGCTGTTTCCGTCGCCTCTCCATCGCATGCGCTGACCGGGAGAATATTCTCTATCCTTGCGCTTCTCCGTCTCTCACCCCCCTCTCTCATCCTTTACTCCCCTTCTCTTTTTCCTCTCTACTTCGTTTACACAGGAAGGATTTAGTATCCTTCTCTGCCTTCAGCGCCTTCGCCATGGACGTGCCCGAACCCGAGCAGACTCCATTCACTGCCGTCACGGCACAGACTTCCAAACTCGCACGGGTGAGTTCTGTCCTGCTTTTCTCCCTCTATCCGAGGGCATTGATTCTATTCAGCTCGACAATGCCCGCATTGGAAGACTTCCGCAATCCGGAGCGCAGTTCCGGCGAAGTCAAGCGGAATCAACAAGCCCAGTCTCCATACAAACAAATTCACCCGCTGACACACCAGCCTCTTCTACAATAGCAATACCAAACCTACCTCGATGCCTCGACACCTTTCACAGCCTACCGCTGGACTGGCACCGTCGTTCTGCTCCTGATCTTCTTTTTGCGAATTGTCCTCGCTCAGGGATGGTACATCGGTACGTCAACCCCAGAAACCAGAAACCGGGAACCCCATACAATCACGAACTTGTCCCCACGAAGAGGCACACAGAGCGGCACACAGAGCTAACCCCTCCTCCTGAATAGTCGCCTACACCCTCGGAATCTACCTCCTGAACCTCTTCCTTCTCTTCCTGCAACCCAAGTTCGACCCCTCCCTGACCCAGGACGAAGGCCTGGAGGACGGTGATGCCGGCGCGCCCAGCCTCCCCACCAAGCAGGACGACGAGTTCCGGCCCTTCATCCGCCGGCTCCCCGAGTTCAAGTTCTGGCACTCGGCAACCCGCGCCATTGCCATCGGGTTCGTCTGCTCGTGGTTCTCGGTCTTCGATATCCCGGTCTTCTGGCCTGTCTTGGTCGTGTACTGGATCATGTTGTTCATCTTGACGAGTATGTTCTCCCTGGATGCACCCTACCTACCACCACTCGTGGCATGCATACAATAGAACCAGCTAACTAAACATCCACCCACCCAGTGCGCCGCCAAATCCAACACATGATCAAGTACCGTTACGTGCCCTTCTCCTTTGGAAAGACCCGATACGGCCGCTCGTGATTTTTTTCTTGTCAATCCATTTCAAGAAAGTCAAATCCAGAAAACCCAGCCAGCGCCAGTCAATCGCACAGATGTCCTAGCGATCTAGCGGGGAAAATCTGTGCTGCAGAAGTGGTGTCTGTGTATGATATGATCCAAGTCGATGAATACATCATTATCATCACGCTTCATGTCCTTTTTTTTTTGCCCCTCTTTTGCCCCCGTTAATTCACATTATTGTTCCTGTCCCTATATTGTGTTTTGTTCTTCTGAGCGAAAACACACACCCGACGACCCCCGATTAAACATGCCCTAACTCAACTTGTCATGTCGTTATGCATTTCCCTCCCCATCCTCTCCGGAATTCTTTCCCTCCTCCTTAATCTCCCTTTCATGTACTCTGGATGTCCTCGACTGGTGAATGTTAATCTTCAAAATGGATCGTCCTCCATCCAAAGCTTCACACCCATCAAGTGCGAAAGGCACAGAACCATGACCAGAAAAGGGAGAGCGGGGCACGAAGGAAGCAGCCGAGGGGAGATAAACCTACCTTTTCACCCACCCACCCACCCTATCTTGCCCTTTCACACATCCCTCCCTCCACCCCTGTCCCTTCTAATAATTGAACCTTCGATTGATCTCAACCCATTGCTGATGATGAATGCGTGGCGTGACGTGACATGGCCTGGACCCTATCCTAAACATGATCTGACTTGATGATGGAAGGAAGGAAGGAAGGAAGGAAGGAAGGAAGTGGGGAGGAAATGTGGCTGGAGTGTTTGGGGCCTTAGATTAATTCTTCCCTTCAATTATTGTACAGAGAAAAAACCTATTGTTCTTTTTTATTCTTCCAATCAATTGCTGTACACCTTTCATATCCATTCATGTTGGCCCGGGTCCCTTCAATGTCCTTTTGGTGCTAATATACAGTACACAGAGATTTGCATTGGCGATTCAATCAAGGTTATCTGTCTCTTGTCATCGGTATTCGGTATGCGTGGGATAGATGGATTGGGGGCGTGTAAAAGCCAGATGAGATTCGATGGATGGTTCCTCGTGGAATCGGCGGAATTGGCTGTTTGGCTGTTTGGCTGGGTAGATATGAGGTAACTTATAGGAGGCGTTGTACTCAGTCTCGGTAACTTGACTTAGGCTTTGACTCTGATATGATAGCGATAGTATTCTAGGCTTTTACCTCTATATCTGCCCTTTTCCGACTTCCAGGGCTCCTACCATTTAAAACAAGGCGCTTAACTGAAGAACAAGTCCCACCTCCCACACACCCTCACTACTCAGTACACCTGCCCCCTTCCCCCCCACGGCCCCCTTCAGTACCCTACTCACTCATTCAGTGACAAAGCCGACATCGCCCGGCTCGGCGCCGGACGATCCAGATCCCGGGTCTTGGTACAGATCCAGGTCGATGCGTACATATTCACACTGGTCACGTATCAGCAGCTGCGGCATGTCCCCTCCCACACACCCCCTATCACTTTATGTGTTGCTTTTTCCAGACGGGAAACTCACCGATCAATACAAGTACCAGGGACCCTGGCCCCGACCCGCTTCGCGGAGAAGCCGTTCGCCTCGAAGTGCCGGATATACCAGGGGTCAATGCTGGCGGACCGGAGGAGGATGCGGCCGCCCTTCTTCAGCGCGTGGTTGAGTTTCTGGGCTTGGGCGGCGGCGGCGTCGCTGGTGGGGTCGAACCAGTCCATTGAGTCCATGATCTATTTTGGAGGGGTTAGAAGGGAGTTTTGGGGGAAGGATAAGGGGACAAAGGGGACAAAGGGGGAGGAAGACTGACGACTGCGATGGTGAGACTCCTCGGTGTGATGCGCTTGATGACTTCGTTGATCTCGTCGGTGTGGATGCGGAGACCGTCGAAGGCGCCGGGGGAGGAGAGCTTGACGTGGGCTTTTGGGGTGAGGTAGGCGGGGTGACATCTTTGTATGAAGTACAACTTTTTAGTATGTTTTCGTGTGGGTATGGGAAGAAAGGTGGGTGATTGGACTAACCTGCGGGAGAAGTGGCCCTGCAAACACAGGAAATAGAAGTAGTTGTCGTTGCTGATGAGGGTGTCCTGGACGACGGGGTCCAATGTGTCCACGACGTACTCCCAGATCGACTGGCCGCTGACGTCCTTGGCCTGCTTCATATTCTTGTTCAGCCCGTTGCGCTTGTAGAAATCGTCGATGATCATGTTGCGCTGGTTGCGGGGCACCCCGGCCGCCTTCCAGGCGAACCATTCGGTCCCTACGACCGCCCAGTGCAGCGGCTTGCTCATTAGAACGGCGCGGATCCTGGGCCAGATCTCGCGCTGCTCGGCCAGCGTCTGCGCCTCGCAGAGCTGCTGGACCTGGGACTGGAGCCCGAAGACCTTGAAGAGGTACCGGACCATCTTGATGGCATGGCGAGAGCCGCCGGTCTCGTACAGGCCCTTGCCCGAGGAGGAGGCGAAGACGTGCGTGTGCTCGAGCCAGTACTGGAAGGCTTGGCTCGAGAGATGAGGGCTCAGTCTGGTGATGAGGAGCCGGCGGAAGTCCGGGTGTTTGCCCTCGCCAAAGATCTTCCAGACGTCACGGTGGCCAAGTGCGATGAAGCTGGCGATCTTGAGCTCGAGAAGGTGATTTTGATTGGGGTTCAGGTCCACGGCATGCACCCGGCGGGGGCTCTTTTGGAGGTAGTCCAGGATGTTGTCGCCTGCACTGGTGATGGCGAGGATGACGTCGTCGCGCTGGATGTTGAGTAGTTTGTGGTCAACACGGGGGTCTTCCCAGTTGAAGGCATAGATGTACTCGTTGCCGAACTGGGTGTGCTTGGGGAGGAGGTCGTCATAGAAGATGCGGTAATGGTGGTTCTGATAGAATGACGAAGGTAGAGGAAGGTTGGAGCCGAGGTTGATCACGGCAGATTCGTACGCTTTGGATTTGATCTCCTGCGTGCTGCTCACAATAGCCGCGTCTATCTCGCTCCGATGCTTCGCGGGAGAGAGGTACGGAGACTCCGTGAAAGAGGCGTTGAGCTTTTCAATGGCATCGCGGCCGGAATGTGTAGTGGAATCCTTCTGGCATCCCACGAAGATGTAGTAGGGAATTCCACCCAACAGGTAATTCCTCTCACTGGCTGAAATCACGGTCCCGAAGCGGTATTCAAGGTAATCACGACGAGCAGCCTCAAGACTGACACGGTCCGCGTCGAACCAGGCACGCCAGAAGGCTCTCCCAAGCCAGTTCACATGGCGATTGAAGGCGCCGCCAATGTAATTGCGTGAGGAGACGTCCACGATGCTTTGCACTGCGCCAGAATTAGTATCCTATGTGCATCATAGCCCACACTCTGCATACCATAGAAATCACAAACTCCCACAACGCCAAAAGGCTTGATCAGCGCAGGCAGTGAGTCAATGACGCTGTAGTAGTCTGCACTGGTCAGCATAGTTCTTCTAACGCGGGAGAGGCTACCCACCTGGAATCATAGACAGACTGTAGCTCATGGTAGCCAGATCAGCGCCCGTCGCCGTGGTGGTCTCGCAGCGCGGATCTACCCTGTCCTCCTCGGGCAACCGGAAGGACCTCGCGTCCTGGCAGACGACGCTGACGTTCTTCCAGCCGAGTCTCTGGAAACGCTGGCGGGCAACCTCACAAAGGGAGGGAGAAAGATCGACTAGATAGACGTGCGCGAAGAAGTCTGGCACCGAGAGGAAGGCGGACATCGCTTCGATATTGTATCTAACGACGCAATTAGGATTATCCGGAGGGGCTACAGCTTCAATTGGTGCTCACCCAGTGCCTCCACCAATCTGAACAATTAGCAAATGTGTACGCCCAAGGCATCGAAGGAAGAGCTTACATCAACCCAGATGGCTTCTCCAGCTTTGAGCTCCTGGCTGTCAACCTTATGCTTCAATTGCGCAGCAACAAGGCCCAGCATGTCCTCGCGTCCGCGGAGGAGGCGCTTGCGAGTCGCATCGTACACACTGGCCTTGGAGGACTTGTGTCAGTCACGTCCCCGCCTGGCAAGATGACAGGCTGGCATACTTGGGTCTTGTAGAAGCTCTCCAGTGCATCCTGCTGTCCTCTTCCGCTCTTCTCATGAGGCTTGAGGAAGCTTGCGTAGATGAATTTCAGGTAGGTGAAGATGCCACTGTCGTAGTCAACTTTGCGCGTTCGCCGGGACGCAAACAGAACCAGCGCAACGAATCCACAGACGGCAAAGGCAGCGCAGGCAATGTAGACATGTAGCCAATCCATGCGTCCTAGAAAGGAGCCGGGAAGGTTGCCGCTGGCAAGAAAACTCATGGCGCACCAAAGGCAATGAGTTGTACTATACAAACACAATGCCTTCCTGTAGGGACTGGACTGAGAGAAAGAAATTGAGTCGAAGTTTAGACGCTCAATTGCTCCCAGTTATGGGAGGGGAAGGGAAGTCTTCTTGAATCAACGGCCGGCTCTGCAGCAGTTGAGGCGCATCTCTTTTGGCAAACAGTTGCCCCACTGATGAGCATGACCCCGCCATCTCCGACAGAATTAGAATTGGGACCAAGATTGGGACAGATGGTCTCCAGAGAGCTATGACCCTATCAAGGAGACACATGGACCCAGTTGGTAGCGAAGGTAGAGAGAGGTAGAGTGTCCAGTTGACTGGCAGTGAGAACTGACTAAGAGGTAGTGAAGGCAAAAGAACCACCGCATCGGCGTATACTTCGGGTAGACCAATCATCGACTGCGCTGCCGGCACGCTTTCAGTGGTTGCCCATGCCTCCTCGCCCAATAATCCCCGCACGGCTGCCATGTGTTGCAATTCTCTCGTTCATTTGCTATCTCGCTCTCTGGCACCTTGAAGAATGGAAGGCGTACTTGAGCTCGAAGGATTTGTCTTCAGGAAACACTTAGTACCTCGGGCCCTCACTCCGCGGGGTATTGCACTGAGACGGCAGAAAGACCCAGTGATTTATGTCAATGTCAATGAGCTCGCATTGACGGTTCATCAATGATCCTTCCTAAAGTAGAAGCAATAAGATCGTTCTACTCGAGACAGACCAAATACAGTGTCGCTGGCTATAGTGCCATGCCAATGCCGCGAGTAGCGCGGAAGTTCTATCGCTCATATTCCATGAGGAGTAAAGGTACGGTGGAATTTCCCTGAGAGATCATAGCGCGGACCAGGGTCTCGCGGACGATCGGCAGCAGGCGCGTCTGTCAAACAGCAATATATTAGTAAGACAAAAGCCAAGGAGGATAAAAGCATCGTTTCTGCATCCAATGGGCTCCCGAAGTCGGAGCAATGAAGCCTAGACCTTTGCTGGTTTGGTGGAAACAGCAATTCAGGCACATTCGGGCCATAACCTGGGCAAAATTTGCAATGCTCTCGCATGCCTGGTAGTGATCGCTTCCTCAGGGACCGGGATCAATTGCCACCTGTCGCTTGTCATACCGCACTAGCCTGATCCACCATGAGACCATGGCAAGCAATTGGTTCCCACAAGATGGTGAAGTCTTTGAGCGTCTTGGGAGTCCAATTCATCCACGAAGTTGAAGCGAGATCACAATGGATCCATACAAAGACCGGGGATGCGGCCACAGATGCAATAGAGAAAATATGTTGAAAAGTCCCTTTATCGGAAACTTGGCCCCAACAATACGTTCTTGTCAATGACTAACTAATGGCTAGCGACCTCGATGATCGCCACATCCCATCAATGCATTCAGAATAAGTGAACCTCAGCTCGGGGAGAGCACGGATTTCTCATCGGCCACATCAAAGCAGGAAACAAATCAATCCAGAGACCTGAAACAATGGCATTGTTGCTTTGTTTGTGAGTGTGCGGCGTTGTGGTCTGGCAATCTATAAAACGCACACATGGGAACCTACCTTGAAGTCGAATAGTAATTGTAATTCTAAGCCTGCGACTTTAGCATCCTTCTTTGTTTTCCATCAAATACGACAATCATGGCTCAGCGAGGGACATTCACCGTGGTGACACCCAAGCCTGCCACGTTCCTCACCATTCCGCCAGAGCTGCACCTCCAGATTATCAAGCTTCTGGATGTCACGTCGCTCGCGCGATTGGGCCTCTCACTCCCCAAGGAATATGGCTTCCTTTGGAACGAGATTCAGAAGAGAGCCAGAATCGGTGCCCTCCCGCCTCAGAAAGTCTACGATAAGCGCATGTCGTATGGGGACGACGGTGAGATACGAATCCATCGCTTCGCTGGAGATGCCGAGTGGAGAAGATCCATCCGCGAGCCTCTTGCGGAAGCTGTTCGCGCCGGTCAACTCGACGTTGTCAAATTCTTCCTGGAGGCCGGGGTGAGTGCCATTATAATTGACCTAGACGCAGTCCCAATGCTCCATCTCTCCATCAGGGAGTGCCAGTATCATATCACGGAGCTCCTGCTACAGTACGATGCTGACCCAAATGTTGTTTATTCAACAGCCGGGGGACAGATGGCATTGGATTATGCGGTAGGTGGGGCCCGTGGTTCGCCGAAATGGGTTCTCGAGATGCTGCTGGCGGCCGGGGCCAGATTCGTTCATGACTCCACCTTCATCATCTGTTGCACTCAAAGCTGGGGGGCGGCTTTTTTCCGCCTGGCCGCCAAGAACGGAGCGGAGATCCTGCCGAAGTCTCCTGACTGTGCTTTCAGACTACAGGCTGCGTACAAGCTTGCGCGTATAGAAGTAATCGATTGTCTCTTGGATCTGAGACCGAGGCTGGTGACTGCGTGTCACAATGGATCATCTGCGCTTGACATGGCCCTCATGTCTGGACGGGAAGATGTTGCGGTCTCCCTTGTTCGCAGAGGTACACCTCTAGACACCAGTGCAGAGCAGCAATTGACCCTTGCTATGCGCTATGGACGGACGAAACTTGTCCGGGAGCTTTTGAAGCATATCCAGCTGGTGAATAAATGCCCGAGATGTAAAGGTGCTGCCATTGAATTGTCGGAAGAACATAGGCAGGAAGCATCTATCATGACCAGCAGTAGACAGCGTTGGCTCAAAATGATATCATAGACTAATCTAACTTGAAGACTTGCCCCGGGAAAGAGATGAGCTCGTAGAGCGCGATGCGAAAAGTGACATGGAATGCACCACCGAGAGCAGTGAACTGTGGGGATAAGCCTACCCTGGCAATGTTATCCTGGTGATCCACCTACATGCTTCAAAGCTACAGTAATCAATCGGGCGATAAGCATAGGTTCCCGGCACATCCACGGGTAAATGATCCGCATGGCAGGAAAGTGGCTTGGCTGCGTTCCTTGCAATCGGTTCTGTGGAAAGTCGATCTATGTCCGGACTTTCCACAAACCCATCGGTAAATTTGAGCAGAAGTATCCTTGCTTCGCGAGCAATCGATGAGCGACCAGCCACGTTGCTACACCCCTGGTATGGGCACCGCATGCAGTGGAGCCAAGCTACGTCCCCAAGCTCATGGCGGGGGAACCTTTTGATAGTGATTAGTCGATCAGGGGGAGATAACAGACACTCCCACCGGATTACGCGGCTGATCGATTTCTCTTACCAATTTCTTTTCTCCACTGCAGCATAGACCCAAGTATGAAGAACGTCGTGACCAAGCGATTTGCAGTGTGTCATCATGATTGACAGATCACTGTTCGGACATGAATGCGTGCATGGGTGCATTGCTGACCATTCCGTCGAGTCGCAGAAGCGCCGAACTAAGACTAAGCAATCCGCAGGTTGGCTAGTCATCGCATGCAGGATGCGTCGTGATAGAGGAAGCCGATTCCACGCATATCACACAAGTAATGAGCAGCCTATGCATGAATACGTATCGCGACTCACGAATGCCAAGTCACGGCGCATACTGAGGGATTGACAGGGAAACAATATTCGCCGTCCACATTCCGTGCTCCGATGAACGATGGCATGATAAGCCGTATCAATGAGCTACACCGTAGTATCTCATGGAAGCGCCTAATTGATACTGGCCCAGATTGACCAGAATCAGCTGCGATCAGACCAGGGCTCTCCGATCACTGAAAAGGGAAAGTGGTATGAAATCCGTCCCTTGGGAGTTTCGGACATGGGATGCCTTGCCGGCCGAAGCGAGTGTGCTAGAAAGAAGTGAGTTGGCGCAAGGTTCCCTTAACCGTTCAGCCTGACTCAGGTCAAACTTCTGCTGAATTCCAGCAGGATCAAAGGGGGGGGACCCCGTAGGGTATGGGGTCTACAGCGTATATCAGAGTACCTTATTTTAGGCGTTTGGAGGATCCACCGGGGAAGCCGGCGGCGGCGGGCGGGCAACCCAGATCGACCTCACGTGCCCCATTTTCTCCCCCTTCCCGTCCCCGGCCCACTTCACCGCCCTCTTCAAGTGCTCAACACTTTCAGCCTTTGAGCCTTGGAGGGACTCGTCCTTCCCCGGCCCGGTGGATGGCCAGATCAATCAGGCAAGGAGCTTGGTGGCATCTGCTGGAGTGCTTAATTCAAGGTTACTATTGGCGACCATCGCGGTGATCCTTTGCAGACCTGCCAATCAGCGTGGGGCGGAACATCATCAGATTGTCTGGACACGAATCCTCGGTAAATACTAGGTAGGTACCAGTAGTAAGTTGTTGAATCGTCTAGCTCGCTTCTCGAATGTTGTTGGCTGATCCTGCATTGCGTCACGGCTCCCCCCCCTCCCTCCACTCTCTCTCTATCTGAGTTATCACGGAGTAAGTTACGGAGTGAGAGTCAAACGGAGTATACTACCACACTGGAAAGAAACCTTGTATTACCCTCGTTTCTGTTTTTCACAAGCCAAGTGCAGTTCAGCGTTTGTACTGGATCTCGTTTGTAGTCACTACCCAATATTTCCATATGCTCCCGCCAAGTCCGGGGCGTTTGTTGAAGCTGGTCTTGATAGGATGATGCGGAGAAAGGTGGTTTCAGGACTCCTGATGATCTTAAAATCATCGGGAGGGGTAATCATGAAAAAAATCCAGCTTTCCAGGCAAGAAAGGATCTGCTTCACTGCTTCAGTAAGTCCTGGCTGATATGCAGAGCACGTCCACCGGCAGTACCGCTGATGCCGCAGGTGGGGAGAGGATGCGAGAGGGAACCCCAATCTATCTGCCTCGAGAAACAAGCACATCCCTGAAAGTAGCCAACCATTCAACTGACAATTAAGTGACTTCTCTGCTCCCGGTGTACCAGAAAGTTAGTGATTTGTCCGCCCAGGAGAGTTCATTGGCTGCTCCATACATCCTTGTGCAGCGTCCTCTGTAGCGCCGGCAAGCAAAGCCTGAAGGTGTGAGCGAGAGCAAATATGCAGGCCTGTTGGAGGTACAGTACATTACATCTGCAGAGAACAGGTCCCGTCTTGGGTGGTATGTGGTCTGTAAGTAAAGTAATGTAAAACTGTAGAAAAATAGGCAGAAACAGGCCGAGCATGGAGTCAAGTCAATTTGTGTAGCTAACCATGGTTGACCCCTCCCATGACCTGTCATTGCCCATTTCTGGGACAACTGGTTAAATGATTAATATTAAGTTGTTACCTTCCAAGACCAACTCTCCAGGGCCTGACCCCCCTGATGGGAAGATGCAGTGGTAGAGGAATAAGCGAGAGGCCCAAATCAGAAGAGATGCGAATAAGATCACCGACAAGAGTAATGCCCAAGCATTCTGGTTTCCTATTTTGTCTATCAGGACATCAGAAGAGTATACTAGTCGGTCGGGATGCGAGATGGTGGTCCCATCTTAGTTACCACTATTAGACTTGGCTAGACCGCCCGCCCCCAGTGTGTCCCCAGTCGTGTGGGCGGGTGGGTAAAGGGAAGAAGCAAAGTAAAGCAAAGTAAAGCAAAGTGAAGTAAGGCAAGGTCTAACTTACAGTAGGGCCGGGGCTGTAGGCTGTAGCTCATTCAATTCACTCACTCACCCACCTCTCCCCCCCTCCCCCCCCAACGGGTTCCTGCAAAACGGCTGGTCATCGAAGTACTGCGCCTGCGCAGTAACTACAGCCAGCTTCCCCAGGAATTTAAACTTGGCTTCCTCCCTCGTTTTCCTCCTCTTCTTCCTCTCTCTCTCTTCTCCTCCCATTCTCTACTTCTGCTCTTCTACTCTCCTACTCTCCTACTCTCTTACTCTCTTACTCTCTTATTTACTTCATCCCCATCTTTGGTGACTGTGTAAATACATATACTCATACTCGCATCTGTCTACTCCAAGCTTACCCTACCTGTCTTGTTTACTGCATACTTGGCGCTGCCTTATCCGATAACCCTACATACCTTAACTCAACCATCTCGGTGTATCGAGTATATCACCTGCCATCCTCATCCATCACCCTACAAGGAATCTATCAGCTATCTCCAACGATTCACAATGGCAGCTCCTCGCTCAAGTTCCCTGCGTGCTCTTCGTCTGCTCTCGCAGCACCACTCTACCACCCTCCCCTGCGCTCGCCGGGGCCTGCACATTACCGGCGTCCACTCGGCGCAACCGGCCAACGTTTCAGACCGAACCTCTCTGTACTCCAGCCGCACCATTGCTGATCTCAAGAATGAGTGCCAGAAGCGCTCCTTGAGGAGCAGCGGTACGCAAGCCGAGGTAAGTGCCATACTCATCATTCTACCCTACACCGTGCCCATGGTAGGGACGTACACTGAACCCAGGCCTAACTCTCAATCCAGCTTGTCGAGCGTCTCCAGAACCATGACTTCCTTCAATCCCGCGCCTTCAGCATCGCCATGCGCCGTATCAGCGGCAATTCTGTTTCCGAGTATGTTCCCCCTAAACCTCTCTCTTTCTCACTCCCTCGGTAAAACTGGGAATCCTCGGAACTGACTTCTCGTGTGGAAATAGGGAAACCCACAGCCGTCAATTCAACACTTCCCGGTCCATGAAGGCCGTGGGTGACTCATCCACCGTCGATTTCGCCTACATGCCCTCACTGGCGGAGCTCGATGGCCCGGCCGCTCGCGCCGATCCGCAATTCCCGATTGTCCCCGACTTCTACTCCCACCAGAGCGCGGCCGCGGCGGATTCCCCCATGAAGCCCCAGATCTACACCGTCTCCGGCGGGGCGGCCGATGTCTCCGCCAGTCCGATGACGGAGGTCGTCGACAACCACTCGGTGGACATCGACCCCTTCTCGCTGACGGAGGCGGTGGGCAAGTCTCGTTTCGGGGCGGAGTCGACCCAGCAGAAGGAGCCTGGTGTGTTCCGCGAGCTGTGGACGGGGGTGGTGGATGACATCTTAGGTAGACAGCCGGCTGTTGTCAGAAAGTGATGCGTCCCACCCGGGGATCGATTTATCCCATTTTCAGAATGTCGTGATTGTCTCTAGCGATGCGTGATGTTTGTTGTGTTGTCCTTTTTTATAGTCATAGTGTTATCACCAGATTAAGCTGAAAGTGTTAAAAATGACAGATCTATACCTAAGCATTGAATTAATCTGTCACCACAACATTTCCTAAAATAATGTAGAACATCAATCAATCCATCCATCATCCAGCCCACGCGACACATAACAGACCAGTATTTCACATACGCATGATCATAGACACTGCACATACATAGTAAAAAGCTCCGATAAACCGAACCAATCCTTCTCGAAGGGCCACTAAGTCAATTACCCCAGAGAAATCGAGTCACCGCCGCCGGGGAAGTACCACCCAAGTCCGACCAAAGGTTCCCACACCCCATATTTTCTCAACCCGAAGGTACGTGGGAAAAGAAAAGCCTCCCTCGGCATTCGGCAATGAGGGATAAACTTTAAGCATGCGGAACCTCTTCTATGTACATACCGCCATAGGAGGTCGATCTCGGGTGGAAAGGGAAAATTCATGATGTCGGCCAGGTGGAAGGGAATGACTCCCCCCCCCTCAGCATCAAAGATTATCCGATATCTCCCGAGGGGTTTGGGAATTGTGTTCTTCCACTAATTTACCCACCCCCGTCGTTTGAACGCATGATGTTTACCGTGAGGAAAGGAGCAGGGTGCTCCGGGCGAGTGAGGGTGTCAGTATACTTCGTTGGGGGATCGTCTGATCGCTGCCCGGGGAGGTGCGCCGGCAGTCGATTCACCGCTGGGTCTGTTTGTATTTTGGGAGGTTGGGTGGAGGTTGTGCATGAATATGCTTTGTGCATCAAGTTGTGTATCTTGATGGGGCATAGTGTACAGTAAGTGCTCTCGTTTGTTGGGTTACTTTGTCAATGTGTAGAGGAGCAAACGAATGTAGCCCATTGTTGACACTGCCTGCCAAGTCCAAGGTTTAAAATAGGACTAGCGCGATGGTCCGGGCTAGCTAGCTAGCTACCTCGGCTACAGCCTACCTGAAGATAAATGAGACAGTTTATTTTTGTTTAGAAAACCACCTACGCTCCATTTCTGCGACTGTTTCTCCTTTTTCAGACTTTGGTCATCATCATCAGTCTTCCCGACGGGGGACTGCTGTCGAACTCCTTGGGCCAATCGACAGCTCTTCAACTCCTCGTTCTGTTTTCCCTCTCATGAGTACAATTCGTTCATGCGTTGGGTGTGGAATCAGCGAGAGGCAGAGGGCGATGCGATGTGCTTGTGTGACCTTCAAACGGTGGGGTCTCGGCTCAATCAATCCAAACAGATTAATGCGATCGCAGTTCGTGTGATGTTTCAGATGAGCTGAGAAGACGAACACCCTCGCACAGGCAGCACGGCTTTATTTAGCAGGATTTCCAGACGTCAGAACTTTGGTCGGTTTAGGCTCTGTGTGCGGTGCTGTGCTGTGCTGGGCCTTACAGTGCACGGCAGTCACCGTCAGTCAGCACTCCGCCTACAGCATCAGGCCCGGAGTCTTCGGTGGTTCTCGAGGAAGATCTGGCTGTCCGTCAGATTGTGATTGCACGGAGCGTACCGTAGATAAATCTAGCAACTGGTGGCTGGTATTAGTTGTATTCTCTGATGAAATGTCAGCAGCACTGGCATTGTTATGGGTATTATTATGAATATGAGGAATCATCTCCTTAGGCTTATGCTCTGGCATTGGGAACAACACTTGGTGGGATCCACTGTTGTTGCCAAGTGACGCAGCCCAGAGTGACTGGAACGGTCGACTGCAGGCCAAGTGCAGAACCCCTCAGTGGTACGCATTTTGAAGGGGTCGTCGTCAGCAACAGTGGGAGGCGATTGACAAGTATATTCACATACAGGTCGAATAACTCTCAACTAGGGCATTGGATGTTCGCATTCTTGCAACATTGGGAAAGGATATATTGCTCCATGTCACCTGCAATTTGTGTATCTGCACTCACTCACTCACACTGCAGGGTGCATGAAATTGGAATTGAAGTGGGCTAACTCAGGGGAAAAAAAGATCTGGGTCTGGATCGCAGGGCGGCAGCCAGTGGCAGCCAGTGGCAGTCCGTCCTCCCGCTCCGAAAACCTGCCGAGTGGATCCGGAGCATCAACTAAAAGTAGTTTCCTGATTGTCCCTCCACATCCACATCCACATCCACATCCACATTCAATTCACTTCTCTTCTTCATCCTCTTTCACTTTCTTCTCAGTCTCTATTCTTCACCCTGTACAGTACATTCTTTTGCTATTTGTTGTTGCAGTTGCGCTCTTGCTGCTGCATCCCATCGTTATTCTCCGCTATTCTGCTCATTAGCCTCTCGTTTGCTTCATTGTTTCACTGCAGACTGCGAGTCGATCTTTTCCCCCGCTGCTTCGGATTTAGAAATCCACGAGTCTATCACTGTCCTCACTTATCTAATCCAGAGCAGTATTGTGTGGTCTAGCATACTCTTGTAACTTTTCATATTGCATCGCAACTGAACCTTCTTTCTTTTTTCCGAGTACAACCGAAGCTTCCGGCACTTGATTAACATCGAGCCGTCTTGCAAATGAGTCTCCGGGTCGTCTCTCAGGGATTCTAAATCGTGCTCGCATCATGCATCAAACCAGATGTCTTCTTGTCGCTGCTTGTATCTGGACCGCGGTCTTCGCCTTCATCCCTTATGAATTCAATCTCGATCTTCCGGCCGCAAAACACACCCCGTCTCGTCGCTTTTTGCCCTGGGAATCACTGAGCGATGCACTTGCCAAAAGCCAAGGCCAGACCAAAACCGATGAGCCCATAACGCTGGATGTGAAGAGAGCCCCTGTCCGTCGCAGCAATGACTTCGATATCGTCCTATCCAAGACGCCCTCCTGGCCCAATACCGCTGCACTCGACCAGAACGGCAATGACCTGACTTATTTCGCTGTGGTTAAGATTGGTTCCGAAGCGCAGGAATTTTATCTGATGCTAGACACGGGTGGCACGAATTCGTGGGTCTTCAGCTCCGACTGCACCACCAAAGCCTGCAGCATGCACGACACCTTTGATGCAACGAGCTCTTCGAGTATCAATGTGACCACAACCGAGTGGAGTGTCGGCTACGGCTCCGGGTCCGCGAGCGGCGTACTGGCTACGGACAACGTGACGGTTGCAGATGTGGAGGTGCAATTCACGTTTGGACTGGCCACCAACGCCTCGAACAACTTCGAATCATACGCCATGGACGGGATCCTAGGCTTCGGCCGCTCCAACGACACTGCGTACAACACTGCCACCTTCATGGACGCTGTGGCAGACCAGAAACACTTCGATTCCAACGTCGTTGGCTTCGCTCTCTCGCGAACCAAGAGCGGCGAGAAGGATGGCACCGTCACGATCGGGGGAGTGGACGAGGACAAGTACACCGGTGACATCTCGTACACGGACACTGTGATTGGATCGGGGAACTATTGGCGCATCCCCGTCGACGATGTCTACGTCAACGGAGATGCATGTGACTTTACCAAGAAATCCGCCATCATCGACACGGGAACATCGTACGCCATGCTCCCCTCTAAGGACGCGAAGACGCTGCACGCGCTCATCCCGGACGCCACCGCCTACGGCGACTATTTCCTGCTTCCGTGCAACTCGACTGCCGAGGTCCAGGTGGCCTTCTCCGGGGTCAACTATACGATCTCGCCGGAGGACTACATCGGCTCCGAGTACAACTCTAGCTGCATCTCCACGATTGTCAGCTACGACCTGTTCGGAGATAACATCTGGCTTCTGGGTGACGTCTTCCTGAAGAACGTCTACACCGTGTTCGACTTCGACGCGGCACGGGTTGGTCTGGCGGCCCGTGCCTACAACAAGAACACCACATCATCCAGCTCAAGCAAGACCAGCAGTTCATCCTCTGGCTCGTCCACCAAGTCTACTGCATCTTCCAGCTCGACCAATTCCACCGGCGTGGTCGCTAGCGGCGCAACAACCCAATTGGGCTCCAGATACTGCCTGCCTGCGTTTGTGGTCGTCTTATGCACTGTTCTGCTGTAGACGGCCTTGTCCACAACCAACCAAACTTTGGCCTTCTTGCACATACTGGGAACATTGAAAACTTCACTTCTTTCATCTACTGTAGTAGATTGCGCCTCTGCACACGCATTTTCGAAGATAACCCATGTGGTAGTCTATTATTAGTCTACAAATAGAGTTATTCTTCCTGACCAAAACCTTAAATTCTGAGCTATTGTTTCATCTTTTCCCGAGAAGCCCTCACCACGATTATGTGCTCTATCTATACAGCGTGGCGGAAGGGTCCACTTACACTATGGCAGACAGCCTATAGAACCCGATCCGGTATCAAAGTGTACGACTTGGGGTATGATTCTGATCGCAACCGTCAGCTGTTTCCATTCACCCCACACCTTTTTGTCAGGGATACATACCCAGAACGGAGCGATCAAAGTCCTCCACGCGATTGAACCCCGCGACGGCCATGAGGATATCGAAGTCGGCCAGCAGCGACTTCATGACGTGGCGCACGCCCTCCTCGCCCATGATACTGAGGCCCCACACCCACAGCCGGCCGACGAAGACGAAGCGGGCGCCCAGCGCCAGCGCCTTGGCGACGTCACTGGCGCCGCGCACCCCGGAGTCAAACATGACATAGATCCGGTCCCCGACGGCATCCACGATATTCTCGAGCGCGTCCAGACTCGCAATGGCGCCGTCCACCTGCCGACCGGCGTGGTTACTCACCACGATCCCATCGACCCCATACTCAACACACTTCCTGGCATCGGCCACGGACTGGATCCCCTTGATCACGAACGGCCGTCCCCCGGAGATCTCGCGCCACCGCGCCATGAGCCAGGGGATCTTCTCCCACGACCAGGCGCGCCCGTGCCACACGGAGTCGATCCACTTGGTCGACGCGGCCACCTGGTCGTTGTCCGGGTCAATGCCGTCCTCCTGACACCGCCGCCGGAACACGGGGTCCGTCCGCCCCAGATCCGCGCCGATGCCGCGGTAGAACGCGTAGTTCGAGCTCGCGACGTCGTCGTGCCGCCACCCGAGCTGCCACGTGTCGGTCGTGAGGATCAGGGCGTCGAAGCCGGCGGCCCACGCGCGCCGCAGGAGCGACAGGGTGAGTTCGTCGTCGTGCGGCATGTACAGCTGGTAGAAGCGCGGGTTGCCGGCCCCGTTGGCGGCGCCGACGGCCTCGATGGGCGTGCTCCCCGCCGTCGAGAGACAGTAGGGCAGCTTCAGCTCGCCGGCGACCCGGGCGACGGCGCGCTCCGCGCTCGCGTGGTAGATGGCATTGATGCCGATCGGCGCGAAGCCGATCGGCGCGGACACGCGGTGCCCGAAGATTTCCGTCGACGTATCGCGCAGGTTCGTGTCCACCAGCTGGTTGGGGATGAGCCGGTGGCGGTAGAAGGCTTGTCGGTTCGCCAGGTGCGTCGTCGATTGGCCCGCGTTCGAGGAGGCGTAGTACCTGTTCCCCCCCGCGGTCAGTTGGGTCTCTTCATGGGGAATTTCGGGTAAAGGGCTGCGTGCGTACCATCCGCCCTGACTCAGTTTGCGTTTGGCTTCTTCTTCGAGCTTGGTGGGATCTATACGTATCGCGCAGTGTAGAGGGTTAGTCGGGGCATGCAAATTCATACTTTCCAATCTTGCAACTACGGGGCTAAGTACATACCAGTATTGAACGGCGGGGTCTGCCCCTCATTCGCCTTCCAGAAGTTCTCGCGCTGGTATAATGCCCACTGCGGGGTGGTGCGTTTCTCGATGTTCGGGTTGTGCGGGTCGCTCATTGTGTTCTTTGTTCTTCGGGAATCGGAGTAAGGTCTAAGACTCTATCTGTGTAGTCAATTCAATAAGTTCTATAGTGTTGTAGATTCTAAGTACTGAGGGATGATTTGATGAGCATGTTCTTGGCGGTCGGAATTGGTATTTATAGAGAGGTTTCATTGTTGTTGTAGATTTGGGTCGGGATGGATGACTTCACATTGACGCAGACGCAGACGCAGACGCAGACGCACTTCTCGGGCGAGAGAGGTGCCTGAATCCGGGGGAGTCCAATATCATCCGCCGTTGATGGTCCGGTCCATTTTTCTTCATGTGATTTTCCCTGGGAGTTGTCCAAATGCTACTTCATCCACATATTATACAGTTATCAAGTATTGTTACGGCCGTTATGGGCTACAGAAACTCAGCCGGAATCCTATTCCAATTAGTTATGTAGGTATTCATCCACCCCACCCTAGAGCCATAGCTTTTCCTTCCTCTTTCCTCTACTACAAGAAGAACTACAAGATAACTACTCCGTAACACTATCCCGCAACCCGCGCAGCGCACTCGGCTCCTTCGCCGCCCCCAGCGCCAGCGCCATGGCCGCGGCGTTCTCCGACCGCCGGCGCGCGTCCGTCCACACCATGAACTCGCTGTACGTGCGCGGCATGACCTGCACGTCCTTCTCCACGAGGAAGGTGTAGTTGAACATGCCCGTGGGCTTCTTGGAGCCGTGCGCGACGTCCCGCACCTTGGTGTCGACGCGCACGCGCACCTTCGTGTACTGGCCGCCGCCGATCTCCAGGGGCTCGGTGTACGCGACCGTGGCCCGCAGGTACAGCACGCTGCCGACGGGGACCGAGTTCTCGAAGGTGCTGGGGTCCAGGGAGACGAAGTTGGGGCGCGCGTGGCTGGCCGAGGCGGCGCAGCAGAAGGCCAGCTCGAAGGTCTGCTTCAGCAAGAACCCGCCGAAGATCATGAAGTTGTGGCGGTTGCGATCCTGCGGTTGCATGATCATGGCGGATTTGAGGACCGAGTCGCTCATCGAGATGGTGTTGGAGGGGCGGACGGCCGGGGAGGAAGGGTCTTTCCTGGGGTGTTAGCATTGGGGTGAGTTGGGGGGATTGGGGGAAAGTTAAACAGAAACGCACTCAGGTAGGACATCTCCTTCGTCCACATGGAATGGATCAGGTTACTTTCGCGCTCGTTGGGCGCCTTTTCGAGGAGACTTCGCGTGCGAAGGGCCTTTTTGGCTCGCGAGTTCTCCTCGCCCTTTTTGTAGAGGAGACGCTCTTCGGCGGTTTCGACGAGGAGCGGCGCGATGGAGACGGGTCTGGTTGCAGGTTTTGCATCGTGGTTAGCAACGGTTGACTTGTCAGTCGTTGAGAGAGCTACGTACTTCTTGGTCGCGGGGTCCAGCGACACCATCGTGAACGCGCAGGTGATCAAGACGTCCTCGGGCTTCGCTTCCTCGCCGGCCGGCGGGGCTTTGGCCACCTGCAGCGACACCTCCATACTCGACCGCCCCGTCGCGTAGGTGACCTGGCCGCTGAGCTCGAGGTCGCAGATCTCCATCAATGGGTGCTCGATGGTGATGCGGTCCACGGCCGCGGTCACCGTCGTGACGTGGTCGCCGGTGTGTCGGTAGGCGATGACGCCGGCCAGCGCGTCGAGATCCATCAGCAATGATCCGAGTCTGTTGTTCCGTCTCAGTTCTGTGTCTGCAGGAATTTCCTTCTACAGGCTAAGGAGTACAACGCACCTGATATGACCCGAGGCGTTGAGATAGGTGTCCAAAAGCCACTTATCCTGGGCTAGGGGGAGAATCTGGAGATAGAGTCAGTAACCGTGTAAGTAGGTTCTACGACGTGTTTTACGAACAGCCTTGTAGTAACTGTCCGACATCCTCTTGGGCGTCAGATCGGGTTTCCCCGACGTATAAGGCGCACCAGCCTGTCCTGATTGCGCCGCCTCGCGGCTCTTGGTCAGGGCTTCGATCCAAGGGGTCTTAACCCGCATGGGCAACCAGGTCGGAGGAGGGTGGGCTGCATCGGCGCGGCTGGTGTGGAAGTCTCGGCTTGCGAGCAGTGACGGTGACAGTGCCGGGTGCTGCTGTGTAATTGCGCGGTTGATGGTGCTGGAGAGGCATTTCGAACGGGCGACGGCGGACCGTCTGGTACTGAGGCCGAACATGACGATGATGTGGTGTCACCGAGAGTAGCTACAAGGTTCAGAAATTGAGGTGAAGAGAAGTAAGTGAGTAAGTTTATGGAGGCCCGACGATACGAGATATGTAGATGAAAGGATGATGCTGCCTCGGGCTCGGCAGAGACAGGCCGGCTTCGGCTTCTGTCGCCGGGGCAAGTCGGGAAGGCTGTCTCGGAGCCACCCGCGGCATTGGGGAATGGGGAGTGGCAAGTATACAATGATGAAGCCTGACACTATGACACTAGGCTACGAAGTAAGCAATTGCTCTCCCCACATGCCCTGCAGTAGCCCGGCAGTTCCTGTCGAGTTCGTCCTATGACATCATCACTTCGGCCAAATGCCCTCGTCGCCGGCAAGAATCCCATGGTTTGGATTGGTTCTTGGACCTCGATCTTGACTTTTTTTTTTTCTGTCTGAAATGAAACTCGGAAATTCTAGAATATGTACATCAACCAACCCTAACACCAGCTAAGTCACGAAACACAATTCATGCTCCTGGCCTATACAGAAATGGGCCTGGCTGACACAATGACAAGGGCTGGCTAAAGGTGAAGATACAGAAGAGAGAAAGAGAACAAAACAGAAGGTAGAAAAACAACCAAGCGTTCAGACAGAGTAGACCCAGGAGTTTTTGCATATGCTATTGACCCCAAATAAACATGAAATAATGTTGGAAATCGACCGCACCCCGTTGCCAGATTGATTTGCCGCCACCGTTTCCCCCGAGCCCGGCCCCCTAGACTCCGTTTGTTTTGCCCAAAACCGATACATGGGGAGTAAAGAAACAAGAATAAAAATAAAGAAGAGCATGTTGTCGTGTCACATTAAATCGCCACTGATCCAACGTCTTTGGCTCATATGTAAGAGACCCAGATTCGGTGATATGGAACCATTCGTTGCATCCACTAAGATGTTCGATATTTTCAAGATAAAAGTAATTTCAGGGCCGACGCTTGGCCAGACTTACCCGCACTGGGTTCGACTCGCCGGAAACAGCAACGGGCGATTGTTCTGACTGATGTCGAGTCGGCACTTAGAATGTCGGCAGTCTTTGCACCAGCCGGAGGAATGCCGCGTGTCGAAATGTGACAAGAGAGTCATCGTGACGGATCTTGGAGGCCGAGGAAAGACTAACCAGGCGAGCAGTAAGTCCTCGGTAAATTCGAGAAAAAATATGTCCGTAATCCATCGAGTAAGGGATTCTGTGGTCCCACAAATCGACATGGCGGAGCCAAGTTAAATGTCAGCAACCACCAAGTACCTCGTTGATCTTGTTGTTCGCAAGCGAGACACCTCCATTCTTGGGTTCTGGCGGAGCTTCCTCCTTCATGCATGCATTTTCCAAGATATTGGTCCACTTCCCACTCGTGCCTGCATGGCTGTGCTTGAGATGCTGGCGGAAATGGTCTGCACGGAAGAACTTCTTCGCATTGTTGCATTCGCCGAACTTGTGTACGACGGTGAGATGCTCGAATCGGCGGTCCCAGTCTGGTTGGGGATGATTGGGAAACTCCTCGCCGCAGTAGCCGCAGGTGTCATGTGACGGACCGGCCCCGGTCTGTCCGGAAGTGGACGAGGGATGGAATGCTGCTTGGTAACTCGACAGAGCAGCACATGACCACGAATGCCGTCGCAAGTGGAGCGAGTTTTGATGGCGTTCGGCTTCGTTCTTGTTCTTGAACCTATTGTTACAGTAAAGGCATGAATATTGCTTCTCCATCTCATGCGAACTGTCCATCATTTTCAGGTTAGACATTTCCCATACCAGATTCAGAAAAGGATAGCAGCTTACCGGAGCTCCTCGGGGCTATCGAATTTCTTCGGCTTCTTAGGACAGCAATCGCAAATGTACAATCCGCCAAGCTTGGGTCCTGTAGGCTTCGGTGCAGGATGATTCGTCTGCAAAGACATTTTGCGCGCAGTTTCGACACTCGAAGGTTCAATAATGCTAGGTCCCTGGATGACTCGTGCGACTGGTGGTGCAACCATGTGAGCGGGTGAAGTCGGATTCATGATAGACTTGTCGTGAAAGGTATCAAGGTCAGACTTGGGTGAAAGCCCTCCGGGAGAACGATCATAGCTGGTCATGCTACTGCCTCCCACAGATAGTCCCGCCGACGAGTAAGATCCGGTAGTCCGTATGCTCAACGATGAGGCCGCCGAATGGCTCCCGTGACCGGCAACATAACCAGAAGTGACGGTCAAATTGTTCGTGTACGGTTGACCACTAGTTCTTCGTTGAGTGAGATCCCCGTTGCTGGTGATGATATGAAGTCGATTTCGATCGTCACCCATCGGCTCACGAGGAGGAGATGATGCTCTTCTTTTCAACCCCGAAGATTTCGAAGCATCCGAATACGGCGGTGTGGCTTCCCGAAGATAAACCATGCGGGACGGGAGCGATTCGTCCGTGGAGAAATCGCCTTCGATATCCGAAAAGACGCCATGATCGTAGCTACCTCGGTGTGAGCGGCTGGGAAGACTGATCGTCTCATCGTATGAAGGTGTTGTTCCACCGCGACGGCGGTATACCTCCCGCAGATACCCTGAATGGTCAAGATCGACGGCAGATGACGGAGCGCTACTCTCGACACTGGGGCTGCGGCCCCCAATGTAATCCCTCCACCCAACCTTAGTACCAGGCGAGACCCCCCCTGATTGATAGCTTCCAGGCCCAGGCCATCTTACGTCGAGAGCCGAACTGTCCGAGCCTCCAGGCGAAGGGATGCCGCCAAAATTTCGTGTAGGAATGGTGAGTGTTGAAAGGGTGGCTCTAGGTTCGCTTCCACCGCTGATAGACTGGCGCGGGGAGAGTGGCTTTCCGATTTTCGACAGCAGGTGCTGATCGTACGCATCTGATGAATCTTTCACACTTCTCCGCGAAAAGTCTCGCTCTCCTTTCAAGATTGGACTTGGGCTTTTGATAGAGATCGCATTCCGGAAGCCCTCGTCCATGGGCGGTGGGGGTTCAATCCGAATGTGCGCTTCAGGGCTCCTGGATAGTGGGAACCCACTTTGCCGGCCGTCTAAGTCGTCGAGAGCCATGCGATCACTTAGCGACACTGCTTCAGGCCGGCGGTGACCACCGAACAGGCTCGAGCTAGGATTAATGGGGGCGAGTTTTGTCGTTCCTCGGGAATTCGCGTGCAACCAGCCAGCGTCGTAGCCGTCTTCGAGATCACTAATTCGGGGCGGCGGTGGTAGTGGCGGAGGGGCGAAATTCGGAGTCAGATTGTTGCGAATAGGCATAGGCCCGTGGGATGGATAGGAGTTTCCAAACATCGTTCCTAGTGGCTGTGCAGGCAGGTTTGAAGTTTGAGGCTCACTATCCTTGTTAAAGTCGTATATGTTAATCGAAGGAAGCGAGATTCGCGGCAAGTCCATCGTACACCAACAACCACAAACAGCTGCTCATCGGCAAGCCCGAAAAGATCAAGCTGAGGTAGAGCTGAAGCGTGCCAGTGAGACTCGCAGTTTTGAGGCTGGACAGAAGTGGCGATGTTCCGATGTGCGCCCGTTACGGCCGCTATAAAAGTGGCTGGCTAAACGTACTTCCGACACTAGACAAAAGCAACTATGCCAAATGCTAGATAGCAGCTGCAAAACGACCAACGAACAGCTTGGTTTAATTTAAACGGCGAGTCGGTAGCGATACCGCAGTCGCAAGATTGGAAAGTTGTCTTCGGGTGCTTGACAAGTCAGGTGGATATGACCTCATATATCTATGGCAGGAGGCAAGTCGGCCTTACCTCGATCAAGAGGTACCTGAATGACTTCCGAGGTCGAAAGAGGGGAAGAGTTAAAAGTCCTTGATACCGATGGGGTTCTTTCGCAGTTGCGCATTACTCCGGAGAAGCGGTTGAGTGCCATCAAATCGCCAGCAGCGGCAACTTATCGACGGAAGACGGCGCAGACACAGCCGAGCATACTGAGAAGCTTTAATCAAGTAGTGCGATTAGATGTGGAATTCTGGAGTTTCCAGGGACGAGAAGAAGAAACCGAGAATCGATCGACCATGCGAGATCCTCGAGGGTTCAGAGGATGTTAGTTCTTTTCGAATTACTCTGGCATAGATCCAAGCCTGTTCGACCAGAAGACGGAGTGACCAGAGGTTCGGAAAAGAGCAAGCAGTAGAACGCGTGAGAGAAGTAGGAGCTGTAAATGAATGGAGAAGGGAGGCAAAAAGACTCAGGAAAGGAGAATCGAATGTCACATGCAGCTACTTTCCGTAACGAGAAGCGAAGAGAGACCCAGGTCAAGGGCGGGTGGAGGCGCAATGCGGGTGAAGGTCAAGGTTGAAACTAATGTAGAGAAGAGGAAAAGAGGAAGACACCAAGTTTGGGTACTGCACGGCAGTTATGCGCGGAGAAGGGAAAAGGATAGGAGCTGTAATAAGGTAGTAACTGTAGGTGTTGGTGAAGAGTGCGAGTAGTTAAGTTGAGGCGAGTTTGGAGGTGGAAGAGAGAGAAATGAATAATGAATGGGTGGTGCAAACCCCAGTCTTATTGGTGGTCCCTACAAGGCTCAAGGGCTCGTGGGAGGGAGTCCAAAACCACTGACTGTCTGTCAGACCCAAGGTTAAATCCAAACCAGATTCCCTGGTTTTCCCGGTTGGTCTCACAGTCGTTTTGTTTTTTTTGTTTTCCCCTTCCTTTTGTGTAAGCGCCCAGTTGTTGGTGGTGGTGGTGGTGGCGGCGGTAGGATGGACGAGGAGGAAAGGAGCTTGTCACAGAGGGAGAGGCAGAGACAGAGAGAGAGAGAGACAGAGACAGAAGAATGATGATGATGAATGGGGTGGATGAATTGATTTGAATGACTGAATGAATGAATGGATGAAATGAAACGAAACGAAATGAAATGAAATGAGAATTGATCAGGAAAGGACAGAAAACCCAGATGAAGGTATTGGTTCCCCCAGCACTGATACCAAACCTTGTATTTGAATATCCGTTTCACCCTATAGTCTGGGCCGGGTGGACACCTTCCAGACTTCACTCAACCCACAATGTCACAGCAATATTAAGGAATGGATGAGATAGATAGAATTGATGAGAACACTATTGCAGAGTGAACAGTTCTGTTTGTCGTTGTTGTCAATGTATCTGGTTGTCTGCAGCAGCAAAATCTACTTGACATACATTTCCAGATCGCAGGTCAGATCAGATACCAGCAATACTCGGGCGGTACTACCAAAATTAAAATACGCGTTCCCATACTTCCGGGGGCATAGTTGCACTTACAGGCATACAGTACCTAGGTACAGATTACACATACCTGACTGACTGAAGGGCCTCCGAGCTGTGTGCCTTCGCGCAAGGCAATCGACAGCTCGATCAATCATCAGTTCATTGATTGTCTGTCACCGACAAATGCGATCGTATCAATGACCATGATACGAATCTGAGTTAGACCCAGGACCACACACCGTTTGGCAGAAGGGGCCGACCGACTGGTAGGTAACTTATGGATCAGCTGGAGCTTTAGTCGACACTTAATCTCACAAGTGTCAATTAGCATCAGCTCACTAGATCCATGATTGTACTCCGGAGTACTCGATCATTTTCAACCACACATGCCTAGATACACCCACGAACCTAGGTACCGTACAGTCTGAGAGGCAAAAAGTCATGCATGTCGTCAGCGGTGTTTCTTCCGGTTCTTTTCCTGGCCAGGGAAAGTCTAATCCGCCTTATGGGAGTGTATGTATAATCGGTGTGTTCGGTATATTCGGTTACGACGTGCTGCGTACCTGTCTCTACTCTTTGATTTCTCTGCCCTCTACTCCGTATGCAGCCCTGGCATTGGCTCACAGCAAAAGTCCATACAAATCCAAGAAAAAGGGGGCCCAGGGGTTGAGATTATGGTGGAGGTAGGTTGGTTTCATTCGTTCGGGATTGGCTCTATTCTCTTCTCGTCTCGTCTCGTCGCGTCTCGATTGACTGACTGAGTGACGTTTATGAAAATCGTAGTGTCAAAATGTCTTTGTTATCGAAAGCCCCCCCAGGCGATAAGGCTCTTGGGATCCTACATTGACGAACGACTCCACGTGTTTGAATCCCAGCTTTCTCCATCCACAATACCGAGAAAATGGCCGTTAAGCCTTTGGAGAAATCGACTATACTACGGCATTCTGCCTTGAGAAGATCATTCAGAACCAGGCAGCATGGGTCCAAGCGAGTCAAGCGTGGAGCTTGCTTGACCTTCACAGCTCGAGGACTGATTCTGGATCCCCGAGCGGTGAAGGGCATTGACTAACCGGATTGGTGGTGACAGTGCAAGGACAATTGGAACTGGGGATGGAATGAGGCAGTGCTGGCGGGCTGGCGGGCTCGGACTTAGTCTCCTCGAATCCCAGCTTGCTTCTCTGGTTTGGACAAACTCCATCCATCCATCCACATCCCATATCCAGTCTTGCCGCTGCGGAGCGTCGTCAAAACAGTCGAGGTACCGGATAGAGCCGCCCAGGGTGGGAATTGGTTGAACTCAAGTCAAGGTTTTTTACGTATGCTGTTCGGTGGACTTTCCCACACTTTCTCACTTGGTGAACTTGTGAGAATATAATAATTCCTGAAGTAAGGTCGATTTTTACCCTCATGTAGTGATAAGTAGGTTAGGTTGGATCTGGATATGTATCGTTTCGCATCGCCGCATGAGGAAGCTCGACTGGCTGCTGCAACCCACCAGAAGGAAGTACTGCGGGTCAGGGCCTCTCTCCTGGGAATCCCAACGGTGCGAAGGTGCGAGAGAGTTAGACTACTCTCCGTAGTACTCGAGTACTCGAGTGAGTAGCACTGTGCCTTTCTTTTCACGAGTATGAGTACTCCGTACATCCCAATCATCAGTCCTCCGCTACAATACCAGAGCCAGACCATGGAGATCACCTTGCCCGCATTCCCACCCATACAGACCTAAAATCTGCAAAATAACCGATCCCAATACCCGTCACGTTTTTTTTTTTTTTTTTTCTTTTTGCTGCACCCTACCCCTCGCAATAACGCTAAGCGTCATCCCAAAACCTTTCTCGGATTTTTATAATCTACATGACGACCTTACCAGGCTTACCTACTACGTACCTAGACTCCTAGACTGCTCTGAGCGAAAGTCGGGTACCGAATGCACCGGATGTACTATGGACTCCATGCTCCACCGTGCGTTGTGCGGACGCAGCAACAACAATTGTAAGTGGCCCTATTGGGCGTGCTCCACCCCCTAAAAGGGTCTAGCGCGCCCCATTATATGCTTTAGATACATGCACTGCCACAGTGCTGTCATTTGGCACTCCCCCCCCGTTGCACACCTTTTTTTTGCCATCCGAGGTTCTTCCCCTGCTCTGGAAGAATGATTATGAGCAGAGAGGGAGAGAGAGGTCTTTGGTTTGGAAGATTGGGGTTTACCCAGAATGGAGAGGGAAAGAACCAAAAGCCCAATGCCTAAGTCCTGAGGAGGGAATTGATCTGGAAGCAGAGGGTCAAACAATGGGATGATCAATCGCGAAAGTCCTCAAGCAAGCAATGAAGGTATGGAGGGCTTCGGGAGGCGAAAGAAAAATAGAGAAGAAAAAAGAAAAAAAAGAAAAAACCGCAATACACAAAACACGAAAACCCCTCCTGCCGGAGCGTCTGATCTTGTTTTGCTCAACTTGTGGTGGACCTTCTGACTGCCTCTTATTGCTACCCCCCTGATTTCCCCTCTTGCAAACATAATGTAGTTGGTCGGTGCTCGCTCGTGTCGTGTCTATAGTCATTATTGCCCGCCTCACATCGGATCGGATATAAAAAGCGATGGGCAAAGCTTTTGAGGGCTGAACGGGGGACACACAAATTTGGAATGACAAGGCAACTCACATAGTACGACACATGACTTATGAGTATGCTCCTTACTAGGGATACACCTACTCATGGACTGCCATGGAAGAGGGGTATTGGCCTGAACTTGCGTTGTTTTCCGATATCGAAAATTCGAACAATGAGGCTGCGCTTCAATACCAGCCCACTACCTGATCATCTTGGGAAAGAGGTCTTACGCGCCGCGTCAATCAACAGGTCGTAGTTACGCAGTGGCAGATTAGACAGGGCGGGCTGGTTCGATCACACAGTGGCCCGCTTTGTGTTAGTGAGAGACAACGAGGGAGATCACATCCAAAGTGTACCCGTAGAAGAGGGTTTTGCCATCAGAGTTGCGGAAACAGGATCTTCGGAACCTGGCGCATCATTGGCCATCCGCGAGGACAGCCAAAAGAATAAACGGACGGATGACCTGGCACATCACCAGTACAGTCTGCGATCCTTGTTCAGTTAGCTGAACGTTTCACCCTTACCAATATCATTCTATGCCCCGTGTCTATATATAGGCGACCGGACCTCGTCAGCAAGTCATCTGGTCAGCTTATATGGAAGTCGTGCACGGACGGAGAGACCTGCTTCTCCATACTGACAGGCCCAGGAGGAGATTGGACAGGAAGACCACGACAAGGCCGGGGTGGGACACAAAACCCACGACCTGATCATGGCCATGTGTGTAGGCCAGAAGAAGTAAATAATATAAGGTTTTAGATTGAAAGGGTAAACCCCGAGCTGAAAAGAACAAACAAAAAAAAGCGCCGTCAGCCTTAAGCCTTAAGGGGCTGCAGACTACTGCTAAATCCAGTCGTGCACAGGCCTGGGTGCTCAATCAGGGAGTGCCATGTATCAAAGGGCAGGCTTTATTTCCGTCCTTTGCGTAGGGCAATACAACAACGGAAGGATGTTAAGAGCGTCGAATCTCGGTCAAGCAGAACTGAGACGTTACACAATGCGGGTAGTTACGCCATCCTCAATCAGCGGGTTGGATTATAGTCAAGAAAAAGTAGAAAGGCAATACGCATGTGCATGATACTAGCCATAGTTGGTTGATCTCTCGTCTCGGAGGAAAGAAAAAGCGCTAGTAGTACGGAGTGATGCTCTGCATGAAGAACAAACACTAGATTCCCACGTAGCGTGCTGCAACTGCTGCCGTTTGATGCTGCATATTTAGTCGCTTTCAATCAGATCATGAGGCCCAGAAGGCGCGTGTGGATCATTTAGCTGGTTTGGTTACACGAGAATCGTCGATAATAGCGATGCAGCCTTAGCAGTAAGCCGACCTAAGGCAGTATTGCACGTCCAAGATCCTGCTATATGCTGGGTAACGTACATAGGATGACATCGCCTTGATTGGCTGGGATCGTTAAGCGACATCAAGCATTATTTACCTCGGAATAGTGGCCTGGAGGTGCAGAGACCAAGAAGCCTGGCTCCCTCTTGGCCCTGTCAAGATGATCAATCTCCAAGACTTGGATGATGCTTGGGTGGGAAAACGAAGTTGTCCCAGGATGTTTAGCTTCGCTTGGAACAAGGGAACCCAATCTTTCATGCCTGCCTCTTGCATGTCCATGCTGAATTGACATGTCCCGGTGTCCCTCATGATTGGCATCATGACCTCCCACCTCCGAAGGACGAAGAACATATTCACTGATTCCAATTCCTGCTTTGGAGGCCTTGGCGGTGGTTTGCGGGCCAATCGTTCTTACGAGTGATTCACGATGACAGAGATAGCGGGATGGCCTCTGCAAGCCATGAGTGGATTGGCTGATACGATGATGCCGATGATGCATCTGATATGCTGAGGGAGAGGGTCTCGAGCGAGTTCGACATTTTCTTGTTGGGTTTCTGGGAGTACTACGGAGTATCTCCTTCATATATCAATCAATAATGCCTTGAGTGCTGCTGTCGAAAGTTGGGACTGTAGCCCGGCCTTGGCATTGCCGCCGACCATGCTCGCACTGCGGCGGATATGGAAGGGTTTCCCCGGCGCAGGGATGGGTAGGCTGAACCAGGATTTCTGTACATTGTCACACATAGTGAGAAGAGGGAGCTGAGAGAGAGAGAGAGAGAGAGAGATTGGAATGATATTCAAATTGATAGGAGGAGACGGTGGGTTGTGTAAATTGTGTAAATTATCCGCGGCGATGGCCAGATCAGGATCAAGGATCATATCCAGAAGTTCTTGGCTTCCATGGAGTGGATTGGAAAGTGGACCGACCGGCATTGGTGGGGACAGGCGAGGGTTGGTTCGTGCCTCAGGTTCAATTCCCCGTCGCTCCCCCCCGGCTACCCTTGCCCTTGCCCTATACCCTAGCCTCATATGACTCTGACCGCTTTCCAGATTCAGAGATTCTGCCCTCAAGACCCCTTTCGCCCTCTCGCCGCCTGTAGCATGGCATCGACACGGCCCGACGCTTAGCATCATATCATTTTTCAGCTTCTCACTTATTGATTTGTGATAGTACTTCCTATATTAAACATTGTATAGGTAGTCTACATCTTCCTCACTATGGCTATGAACAAGATACCTGGCCACAATATCTATGTTGGGGGGTGAGTTTCCTTCTCTCAGCTATCTACTCTCATTTCCAGTTGCCTCTCTACCTTCCTTTTTCGACACGCCACTAGAGAATTAGCTTCTAGAGTCAACTCAAGGGAAAGGAACGATTATTGACCAACTCTGTAGGGTCCTCTCACTCAAGAACAATGCGGCTTTGACTCGAGCAAATATCACGCACATTGTTTCTGTGCTACGACTCCAGCAAGCAGATGAACTTCTGGCGCCTTATCAACGTCATTGCATAGAAGTTGACGATGTCGATGATGAAAACCTGCTGGAGCATTTTCCCGCCGCCGTCAAGTTCATTCAGTCGGGACTGGACAGTGGCGGCGCGGTGCTTGTGCATTGGTAAGTCATTGTGATTGCAAACCCCCACGATGAACCAATTACTACCTTCGGATACTAACTGCTCTTTAGTGCAATGGGCAAATCCCGTTCTGCAACTGTGTGCATTGCCTACATGCTTCATCAGCAGCGTAGTGCGCTGACTCCGCAATCAGCACTTGCCATCATCAGGGAGAGCCGGCCTCTCTGTGAACCCAACGATGGCTTTATGGAACAGCTTTCGCTCTACCATCAGATGGGCTGTCCCGAGGGTGTCACGAGCCATCCTCTGTATAGCAGATGGCTTTACCGCCGAGAAGTCGAAGAAAGTGTCGCCTGCGGGCGGGCACCTGAAATGAATAATGTCCTATTCGAGGACGAACAACCGCACAGGCCGCAGGAATCTACAGGTCGTACGACGGAGATCAAGTGTCGTAAATGCCGGTCGGTTATCCTTATCTTCCGTCTACTTGCCTTTGTGACTTTCTTCAAGCTATGGTTCTTGATTTCGAAACCTTACTGACTTCATATTCAGACGCAAATTGGCAACCACGCCGTTTGTTGTTCCTCATGGACCCCAGAAACCAGGCGCTTCGCTCGCGAATACCGAGTGTGCACATGTTTTCCTTCATCCATTGACCTGGATGCGTCCAAGTCTCTTTCCAGAAAGCGAGTCGGGTGATTCGGGTGCACCGCTAGGTTCGCCGTCAGCAGACGCTCCGTTATCTGGTCGTTTGACCTGTCCCAACACCTCTTGCGGCGCCAACATTGGAAAATTTGCCTGGCAGGGTATGCGATGCAGCTGCAGTGAATGGGTGGTGCCCGCCATCGGCCTGGCGAAAGCTCGAGTAGACATCTCCGAGCAAGTGAATACGATCCGGGGCCCAGCCCAGGCAGCCTTTGGCATTCGCCTGCCGCCTGGAATGAGACCTAGTCCCACTGACGAGACCAATGGGCGGGGCAACCTCTAAGCTTTCCAGCAAGAATCTACAAGGCAGCAATCAGGCTTCAATAGAACCGAATCGAGTATTGCTGACATGCCAAGGGGCCATCGCAGCCACTTGGTGGACACTTTCGACCTCGCATGGGGAGGTAGTAAGGTCGACCGAAGTTGAGTCGCAAGCAGCAAAGCCACATCGAGTTTAGTTCAAGGATGTCCGAGAGTCCCTGCGGGTGCTTGCGTGGCTAGTTGAAAGGCAGAACAAAAGACAAAGCAAACGTGGCAAGCAGACAGTCCCTTGCTGCGATTCGCGGGTTAAAAGGTGGCATTTAGGCTTTAGTCGCGGTCAAAACCGCGGGCCAGGAAAGACAAAAGGGAAGGGACATGCGCAGGTTACGCACACGCATACGATATGATAGACCTAAGTCTAGGCTCGATTGATACTGGTGCCGAAAGGTCGCGAGTTTAAAGAAGGAAAGGACCCTGGATGTCGATCCTTTAGCGGGGAGAGGGGAAGCTATGAGACAGTTGTCCTAGCGCCGAGATGACCTCACCTTCTCTAGCTTTTTATCTACCAGCCAACCACAGTTATGTATGCAATCGATGCGGCGCCTAAGCCCTTCAACCGTATTAATCTGATAACGTCCGATCATCGAGCAATCAATTGAAACCCGCGCAACGCGATGACCTCAAATCCTCCATGTAACCAAGGAGAGGAGGCATATGGTGACCGAGTCAGGGCTTGCACCCCACATCCTGCGACAAAAAACCCCACGAGGCTGTTCTCCCACTCTTCTAACCCTCATTAAGGCGAGCCCCACAAAGTCAAGGGCCCTCCACTTCCCAGCGGACAGCCACCAATGATCTGCAGCCAGTGGTCGATCGGGGAGAAACAAAGCACCAGGCAAGAGTTGTAGTACGGAGTAAGTAAGTTGGCGTTGCACAGGTTCCTGGCGCCTATGGGCTGACTAATCGACCGCAGGGAGCCCTAGTTGATGCTACATGAACTATGACTCGCTATGCTTCCACAATGAGGGAAAGAAGCGACCATGCTGTACCAAGAAGACCAGAAATTATTACATTTGGGGAGGGAAAGGGCAAGGGGAAGGGGAAGGGGGTTGGTCGGAACCATCAGGTTGAGAGTTGAGAGGGGTGAGGCCTGGTAAGGTCTAGGCTGGATCACTAGCTCCGGCACGGGGGCTGTGCAAAAGCTCTCTTACGCAACTGGGGCACGCTAGCCATGGTTGCGGGTGCCTTTTTCTTTTTTTTTCTATTTTCCTTCGAGATTTGCCAGGTTTTTTACGCGGTAACGTACGAGCTGGTATGTAAGGTATGTTACAATATATGTGTATTTTTCACTTTGCTCAACATCACCACTACCTCGACATCCCACAGCTCTTCCCTTTTTTGACGACGTAGGGCAGACCACCGCCCTACCTGGTCGACGTGTGGGTGGCAAGGGAGAAAAAAAAAACGTGGGAGACAGAATGTCCTAGAAGGTCCAGAACATTTTGTTCTTGATCCAAGTAGACTCAACTCCATCACTTTAAAGCTCTTCTACTGTGTACGGAGAATATACGTATACAGTTACTCCCGTCAAATATGTACGGAGTAAGTGTGTCTGTGCATCGGTATCCGCCTGGCTGGATCTCCAGAGTACTACTCCGTCCTCCGTACAGGAACCAGGCAGATACTTTATCCAGCCTGTGTACTCTGTACATACCTACACCAGGGTCACCGAAGCTACTAGTTGTACCGCTTGATATGCAATGCATGATCAGGACTCGAGGATCTGGTTAGTCAGTCATTCAGGAACCAACGGTTGCGGCCCTGAGCCCTCCCTCCTCTCTTTTCCTTCAACATTTCCCGCCTAGAATACGCACCGTCTTTGATATCGCATCGAGAATCCTCGTCTCCTTTTGCTATAGACAACACTAGACGCAATAGCATTTGACAGACCATGGCATACACCGTGGACACCACCGATCCTGGCGGTTTTCGAAAGGAAAGAAAGTTCGATAGTCAGAAGAGGTGGAGGATGACGTCAGCGCCCCGTTTCCTTAGCTACTGTTCCCATTTGATAGTTCAGTGTCTATACAATAATTGATGTATTGTATTAGAGTGTGACAAGAGTGAAGCAGCAGCTTTGATCCGAAAACACGGAACCATATCGAGCTTGCATGAATATCAGCACAGAAGACACCGGAAACATTGATAGCCACTGCGACTGCTGGCTAAGGTAGTGAGTCTTTGATTCCCTCAAGGTCCTTGGCGATGTACTGTACTTTGAATGGATTAAGGATCTATTCCCCATTCAGACTTGTCTGTAACGGGCCCGGACTCGGGAGCCATTGCCCGTCCGTCCACTTTAACCCTATCTTTGAAGTACCTAGCCGTACTCTAATCTGTTCTTCGCTTCTAGTGTATATGTACATGACATTGTTGATGTATAGGTGTAGAATGATGTCATCACCGAGAACAGGCAACCACAGTCATCGTTGCTGAATCTTTATCAAACCCCCCCCTCCTCTTTGACTGTGTCCCATAAAGCATAGGTTGGAAGTGAAGAAAAGATGCAGGAGAAAGCGAGCGGACTCCGCAGCACTAAACCCAACCGGCGACTAGAGCGAGGAAACTAAGCAGCACTGCCTCACAGGGAGACCCACTGCTTTGCTTGACAAAATCTCTTGGCTTTTTTTTTCTTTGCCTGCCCACTGTCATCCTGACAGACAGACAGACGGACGGACGGATATGACTTTTATCTCCGGGTTAAGTGGTCTTTGCTTCCTTTGGGGATTGGATCAAACAATCTCGTCTTACGACTTCTTGGGGCGCTATGAACGGTGGGACGGAGTCTCATCATCTCCTCTCTTACATTAGTCTCCGCAGCGTGTGTGGGCTAGGCCGTTGGTCACAGAGACGATGAGAGGGAGGGGAGAGGGGAGGGGCTCCGGGCGGATTGAATTCGTTCTCTATGCAAATATCATCACCTACCAACCCTGGATAGGGGATGATTGACGACGCTTGGTGGAAAAGGATCCGATGATTGGGAAGTCTGCACATGCGGGAGAGAATTGTTAGATTAACATGAGGGCATTTTTGCGAACGCCGTAGATTAATTGCCACTGGATGGGGTCAGTTCCCCGCTCTTTCAGTCTCTGCTACCGGGAAGTCCTGTCGCATCCATTGGATCAGAGGAGGTTGCACTCGATTGTACTGTACTTCTATCGGTGATTCGGTACTAGTAAGGTACGAGGGGATGTGTGTGACGCTGTGTGTCAGGCTGGCTGGTGGTGTGTTGGGTAGGAAATGCCGACGGGGGCACGGCGGCCGTTCCCTGCCTTATGCCTTATGCCTTATGGAAGGATGGGCTTTCTATTTCTAGAAGCCGCCTAAGGCTGAGTTGTGGCCATGTTGTCTTGTAGCTACTTCGTAGCTCGATCCAAGCTTCTTGCGACAGGTTGCGTTGTATATGCAGGCCAGATGCATCGCATGTGAGGTTAATTACCGTATCTGTCTTGACTTGTTCATGAGGCAGATCAAGAGCAAGGACCCGCTTCCCATCCTTTGCACTCGTGACAAAGAGTGATCTGGTGGTCTCGTTGGAAATCTGACTGGACGAGTTGATGGAGGAAATGAGCCCAGGGCTGTGCTATCCGCGGATTTTGTCTTGCTTCCTAACGAATGTCTTGAATGATGACCGAGACCTGCATCGAAAACTCCCTTCATGAACTGGGCAATGAACCCCTGGCCTCTGGCGCCAGGACCCTAGAGGTCTCACTTTAAGAGACGTATTCGTACGAATACGAAGCTGTCTTAGGCAATGCGCAAGAGCCCAGGCTATGCTGGCCACACATCATGATAAGACACGCAACAGTAAGCACCGCGCGGCCAGGCTCACTAGAATGAGTCGTGCGCACACTTTGTTTGTCATGAACCTTCTCAAGGAACATCAACCCAGTCCCAAGGACAGGTGCACGTTTACTCAACACAAACTCAGATACCACCGGACGGGACAGATGGAAAGAACGAGGGGTCCTGCAGCCGTTGCCGGTTGCGCCTCGCGACTTCAGCGTTGCGCACTCTGTCAATCCGCATCTGGTAGAAGTTCCTGCCCCACCATTTTGATCAGTATCAAGGCACCTGAACAGGGAACAGGGAACGAAGATCCGTACTTATGCAGAGCAAAGATCCGCGGCGAAATATCCGTACTCGGCGTTGTGGTATCCCCGGATTTTTTGATCGCATCAATCTGCAGCGCATTTCCAATCAGCCAGACTGCCCAGCCTCCCCAGTTGCCCATTATCCTTTTCCTCCATCTCACACTTTGGAGAGTCGAGATACCTACCTTGTCATCGCGCTCATTCTCTGCGGTCTTATCGTCCTTGTCCTCTCCGTCCTTGTCTTTCTCCTTCTCCTTTTCTTTATCCTTGTCTTTGTCCCCACTCTTCTTCGCTTTCCTAGCCTGCCGCTCCTCGTACTCCTTCTTCACCTTCTCGATCTCTTTGGCCATAGCATCGCGCTTCGCTTTCGCTTCAACCTCGGCTGCATCGATGATAGGGGAGCAGAAGTTTCGATCGGTGAGGTGGGAGGGGCAGATGTAGAAGAAATCCTGCGAGGGAAGTCGTTCAGTCGTTAGCACAGCGGCAAGAGACCCATGCGTGAGCTCATCAGATTATCATTGTAGACATCCGGGAATGGCTTACCTTGTTATCGGGAGTGATGAGGACCGAGGTCGAGGGTTTGTAGCAGATGTAGCATGATTTAGCAGAGGTGTCGGCTACGCGACGGAGGTGATAGGTATTTTGAAATGGCGAGGCCATTGTTCTTGTGAAAATTGGGAAAGACACAGAGCAAGAAGCGGAAGGTCTAAGGAGTTCTGCTGTTGACTGCGTCCTGGACACGCTGGGGTAGATGGAAACCCAAAAGTTGGAGCTTTGCGCGGGGAAAGGGACAAGTGAAATAGTTTGGGTGCGGAGAAAATAGTCCACTCTTGGTGATGTCATGTGACAAAGTATACAGTACATGTTGCCCTCTCGAATTCTGGAATACAGTGATCCACTGATAACTACCTGCCCAACTAACGCCAGAGCAATGCATACATAACAGTCAGGACTGACTCTAGGTCTAAGCCTTAACTTTTCAAACAAAACAATAGCCCTTTTTTGGCATATTCGACAAAGGGTAGAAAAAGGAAACGGCCAGGAAGCTCATCTTCTGAAATCAGATGAGTCAAAAACAGGAGAACCAAGTTTACCTTGGATATTCATCACAACACAGTATCTTCCATCATTGAAGACCCGCAGGTGGAAAACTGTTTGCGAAAGAAATGCTATTTTACAGACCCGCATTAACCACGCCAGCGGCCTCCTCGGCTAGCCGGAGGTCCCTAGCATCTAAGTCCATCACGGTGAAATATTTGTTGAATGCGGATAGGATGTCTTTGAGAGAGTGTTTGAGCGTCGTCAGGACTAGATCCACATCAGGAACCCGACGAGCCTGGGCCTGGGCCTCCGGATTGCTGGAAGGTGGGAAATCGACGTCCGTCCAGTGCGCGTCCAGACCGCCGTTGATGAACGGCTCTAGGGTTTGGATGGTTTCGGTGAACAGACGGATGAGGGCAGGAACATCGGCTTGGACTTTACCGTAGGAATCCTCTTCGAGACTCTTGATGGAGAGGCCAGTAATAGAGTCGATGGAGTGAACAATGGAGCATATATTGGCGTGGGGTGTGCCAAGGACGATACCGGACAAGCGACGGGCGTAAGTGTGTTGGAAATGGCGGCCGATTGGAGTGCGAAGGGCTTGTGCCATGAGAGGGTGCAGGTCTTCGGGCTTGCACGTGATCAAGGGACCGGTGAGGCGCTCGACGAGTTCCTTGTAAGTAGCAAGGAGCTTCTGCTTCTGTTCGGGACTAAGCACGGCAGATAATGCCCGGTCCAGGACATCAACAGCCTTGGCACGGGCGGTAGGAGTCCAGTCGGGGTTGTTTCCGAATGATTTGATGGTCTCATTCCAAGCCTCCTGGTGAGAAGCGGTCTTGGGGACGGGGGCGAAGATGTCAACCTCATTTGGCGCCTTTAGCGGGTCTGTGAGTCGAGGGAGAGTGCGAAGGACGAGCTCATCCTTTGGAGGGCCAGTGTCGATACCGGAAAGTGCCTTTTTCTGTTCCCTTGTCTCTTGATATTCCTTCTCATCGACATTTGGTTTGACTCGGGTCGCGACACCCTTGACCACTTCTGTGGTCGCGGCGAAAATCTGAGACCAGGCTGCCCCTTCTTCGCGGTCGATATCATTAAAGACCGCTTTGCGACGATCAGGAAACTGCTGGCTGATCAAAAGTAGTTCCCAGAATGCAAAGGCTCGAACCGTCTCCTTCTTCGCTTTGAGGCCGGTAAGCAAGCTGCCGTTGGGGTCTTTAGCATCGGCTGTCAAAGGCTGGCCGCGCTTGAGGGGCTCTTTGCTCAAAAATATGGAAAAGAAAAGGTTGGCGCTCTGCCAACAAAGCATCAGAAGCGCTCCTGAGACCATTGACCTGAAGATGATTCCCGGTGTGATTGGTGGAAGAAAGCCCGGCGGATGAGCGGCGGACCTGGGGATATCCCAGAAGAGTTTGGCAAAATACAAAGCGGTACTCCACGCATAACGACGGAGAAGAATGGAGTACGCCAGAGGGCAAGCCAAAGCAACGAACAAACTCCTCTTGAATCCGCCAACAATGGTCGGCAGGAATTCAGCCTGGATGCGTTTGGCAGTGGACTGAACTGCACCTTTGTCCTTCTCAGACCGTTTGGCGACTGGGACAGGAACTCGGTCATAATCATCGTACAGGTGAAAAAGCGACTGTATGACTGCTAGCACGAGGTGGTAGGTGTAAAGGTATATAGCCCGCTCGTTGAGACTTGCGCGTTCATGAGGTCTGGCATCACATTTTTCTTAGCTGAGGTTCCACCACGCTCAAAGTAATTCAGCCTTGGGTGAGCACATACCTGGCTCGGTTCACCCATTCCAAGTGCGCACTAAGCGGCGAAGACCATCTGTAGATCTCGTTGAACCACCAGGCTGAGAACATGTACCATCCGAAGGTCTGGAAAGCATCGAACGGAATAAGTTGCTTGAGAGTACTTATTGACGAGGCTGTCGTCCTTGCGCCAAGGTGCATCTGACCAACACGCAGGACAAAGATGACAAGGCTGCAGAGAGAGAGTAGAACTGTTCGAATTCCACATGCTCCAATTGGAAACCATGACCAGAAGACTAGGAGGATGTCGCAAGTGGTTAGCGATCGCCGTGAGTACGTTTTGCGAGCTGCTCCATCCAGCGTGGTTGTACTTACATGATGATTTCTCACCAAGGGCAAATGCAACAATGTAGCAGACTAACAGCGCCAGTGCAGAAGCATGCACAAATCTTCTGTGCAGGGCCGAGGTCAATATGCGCCGATAAGGGCGAGGCCGTGCAGCAGCCATGATGAGGGTTGGGATCTAAAGTGTGATGGGATGATCTCTAGGCAGAGAAGGATGAATCAAGTTCACCGCATGATCAGAGTAGCTGCAGAATGGGTAGCAAGTACGCCTTGGAATAATTGAAGCTCCAAGCGTATTGAATTGGAGCTCAGTCGAGGGAAAGCGGGCAGCGGGATGCGACGACAAAATGAAGCTTTTCGAACAAAGCACCAAAACACACCA